TTCAACCACAATTTCAACAGAAAATTACTTTAATCTCATAAAATTTTATTTTAATAAGTCTTGAAAATTAATTCCAAATTCTGAATGAATGCCTATCTTTCCTTGGGGGGGGGAACGCTTAGGCACGAGATTGAAAGGTGAAGAAGATCCCCAATCCACTTGCCAAAACTTTATTCTCCAGGAGTGAACTCTTAAACTACAGTAAATTTATGAGGTTTATTTTCAAACGTACTGGAATCCCTGTTTGTGCTGCAATATCCACTGATTTGGTATCGATTATTCGCGATTTACAATAGAACAAGAAAAGGAAACTGTTGCTCATGTTCTTATACACCAGGGCTGTGGAGTCGCTAAATACAGGTCGACTCCGACTCCAGTTTGAATTTGAAATGAAATTAAAATGAATTGGAAAAAAATTAATGACAAGCTGAGTTATTATTTTTATTTATGAACTTTAAATATTAATAACTAGTTATTTTCTAATTTATTGACCTATTAATAAATAAATATAAGGGAGGAGAATGGATGTGATATTTGCCATTAGCGATTAAACTTATTCATTTAGTTACAAATCTCACTGGTAAATTTAGGTTAGCAGCAAGAACTCCCAAAATTGATGCTATTCTTAGGAAGCGAGCAGGAAAAGGAGAAATTACTGATCAAACAATGCGATAAGGAAGTACATATTTGATGATAAAGAGGTTTAAGAACTTTTTTCAGGAGATGTAGATAACCCTAATGTTTTACTAATAGAAAGACTTGCAAATGGAAGTCTTTCTATTAGTGAATTATCTAGGAATGATTTTGCAAAATTGGAAACTCTTCTTTCTACACCGTATATAGCAACAAAAAAGCTGCAATCTGAAGAATTGACAGGAGGTGAGAATAGAAGAATGTGAAATTTGTTCTTTCTGAAATGGAGGGTTTATTGCAGAGGGAATCATTTCTTCAATGAAGAAAAGAGAAACTAGTTTGCTAGACAATGAGATCTTGCTGAGTTCAATATATGTAGATACGAAACACCAAATTTTTTTGGATGACGAACAAATTAAAAAGGCAAAGAAAGCCATCTATGAACTTTCATTAAGAATGAAATTATTCTCAGAACAATTTGAGAATTTGAATCAGGACAGTCAAACTGCAGACATTGCAATAGTCTCTATCATTCTTTTCATTGACGAATTGGATTTTGAGAAATATTAAATGCTAATTAATATAATTTGCTATGCCATCAATTTTTTTTTCTGTAGCATCTATCACTTTTTTTATATTAAAAAATAAGCTGTAACCCATGTGTATGTGTTTACATATATATATGAGGGAGTTGGAGTTATTAAAATTCCAGGAGTCAAGAGTCTGTCATTTTCCCTACTGACTCCACAGCCCTGTTATGCACTGCAAATTACGAGTACATTGCACTGAATATACTGAAACATTAAGATAAACATTTCAAACTTATCCAAAGCTAATGACTTCACATGGAAAATAGCAATTGTAATTTTTTCCAAATGATGTAACCAAATGTAGGGGATAAGATTATTACTTATACAGAACCTTGCTTTACTCCAGCTTACAGATCAAATCTCGGATTCAGGGACACTTTTTTTTTTTTTTTTTTTTTTTTTTCTGTCACACTTTGTTTGATAGCTGCATCCGATAGGCAGCAGAAAGTGTTGGATTCTTCTTCATACCTACACTTCTCCATTAAAATTTCTTTCCATATTCCCACACTGTTTCTACCACTCTTTCAAATCTTATTAGTAATGCTTTAACTGTTTAACTTTTCTCATTCATGCAATGGAAAAAGAAAGATCTTTGTTTCTGGCATTCTTTAAAATAGTATCCATGGCTTAAATTCAGCCACAGCCCCAAATATTTCATTTTTATTATTTAACTATTTATAATTAATATAAATTCATTAAATTGTTCACTTTACATTTTATTGATTTTAATTATTTATTTACTTTAATCTTCCTGACGTTCTACAGGACTCTGGTATTTCTAATTTGAAAAATTTAGCCATGTCCAAAATGATAAATTCTTTTTTTTTTTTTTTTTTTTACTTGACTACATGGACCTCTACAAATTATTCAGATGGAAATTCTTCAAGCTCCATAATGATATCCATCTAGTCTGTTTTACACACTATAATAACATATGATTATTTCTACATTATGATAAATGCAGAAAACTGTGACTGGATGTTCTTAAAGACTCCCACCTACCTACACTAGTTTATATGTTATAATGAAAATTTTCTATAACATATTTTTATATTTTATTATATTTAGTTTGAATTTCAATTTTCAATCAAAAATAATAATTTATGTTTGGGATTGCCATATAGGATCCATATATTCAAATTTTCTTCTGTTTCTTTAACTCAAGTTTCATTCTTTCAAAAATAATGATGAAAATTAAAATTTTTAAAAAGTGTATTATTAAATAATAAACAAAATTGCATTTTGAAAAAGAGAACACTCTACAGAAATCTTAAATTTAATTATTTTTACATTTCTTTACCACTGAAAGGTATAAATATAATTTAATTATATTATTTAAAAAAAAAAATTCTCTCAAGATTTCAGGATGTTGTGACATCCATTTAAAATTAAATACAGATATCAGACAATCATTAAAATATTTTTGGTTATTTATTCTAATTATATTATCAATGTGAAGTTTACAGTTTGTATTTTAAAAACGTTTGGGCCAATCCCCCTCAAAAAAAAATTCAGTGATTATCTGCTTTTTAATTAATTTTATTGTTAGGCAAAAAATAGTCTAACTCAGATCACATCACTACATTTATAAATGGCTGACATTTTTTTCAGTTTAATGCTTTCAAACGTGCACAATCTATGGAGAGCATATTTATGTTACAGCTCATGCTCAATTGAATAAGTAACAACTTTTAGTTTCAAATTCATTGATTGTATCTGAAAACTTAATTACAAAACCTTTCAAAAATCTATCATTTCACTGACATTTATATTATCCTTATAAAATTGTGAAGTATATATTTTTAATATTTAACACTTATTATCATGTCAGAGAAGAACCTCCCAATGAAGTTATATTACTTTGATTCATGCATATTACTTCATAGCAACCTTAAACATGTCTCCCTCTTTTACACAAACTCAATTACTGCTATTTACTGGTGTACACGTCCAAGTGTTTTCTCTTTGAACACCCAACTTCCGTGAAGTAGATTCCCCTTTAAATGTTTGCTTTCTTCCGCCCCCCCCAATTTCCTTCTACATTTGTTTTCAGTGCCGAAACAAAAAAAATAGGATTTTTTAATGTTACACTTCCATAAATTTTGCATTCTTGTAAAATTTTTTAAAATATAAGTTGCATCAAATGCATTTCAGCTGAAGACTTCATTTTCTAGACATTTTAACTATAAATAAAGAAAAGTCCAAAGGATAAATATTTGAATTAAAAGATTTTTGTTAAATGAGAAAGAAATAAACCACTCCAGCAGTGCTTATCCTGTACCACCGAGAGACCCGAATCTTATATTGGGTGCAAAAAATTTTGATCATATTATTTAGTTTTTAAGCCTAATAATTTCCATATAAAGAAGTTTTTTTTTTTACATAATCTACAAGAGAGAAAATTACTACTTAAAACATTCTTTCTAAGAGAATTAATGTAAAAATTTATATTTATACATATGTTTTTTAAAGCTGGGACATGATCCAAACTGTCAACGTCCTGTTTGCTTAAAAACATTGTGAAATTCAAACAAACAAACTTTCTCAGTTTTAGACAATTAAACTTAAATGAAGTTAAAGTAAATTAGCAGATGATAACATGGCAAAGGTTAAAAAATTTACTAATACAAAATTACAAATATTTAAAAAAGAAAAATTTAAAAATCTTGTTTAAAATTTGAATAATATCATCTATAATTTTAAAAAATAGCTTTTCATATAGTATTAATAAATATTTATTACTCATCATTGAGAAGGAAAATTCCATATAATTAATTCTCCGTAAAAATTTAAGGTTAAAAAATAGCTGTGGCAATTCACTGCAACAAAGCCCATAAACCACATTTGGCATTATCGCTCAAGGAAAAGATGCCAAATTTCACAACATGCAAATATCTTAGAAAATTTTGAATAAAAAAGTCTAATTTTTTGCAGATATGCTTAGAATTACACCTTCTTTAAGATGATGGTAAAAATTTTATAGGTTAGAATACAAAATTTTGTTCGAAAAATTTATGAAAATTATTTTAAAATAAAACATTAAAAAAATGGACAAATTTATTTGGAATGAAGCTAAATTTTGAAATGTGAAAAGAAGAATAAAAAAAGATATTAATAAATATATGCCAAATTCAATTAACATTGAGGAGCTGATTTTTAAAAACTACTCATGCGATTTTTACAAAACTGGGCAGTCTGGCATAATTTGAGTAGTAGAATCGAAATATGGAAAAACATTGGTATATTATTTCAGAAGAAGTCCGATTTTGTGTTGAAATACCTATGTTAGAATAACGCTATATATAAATCTAATATATATCCTAAGTCGCGCTTTCGAGACATAAAAAACGCAATTTGAATTTTGTCAATCAGTCCAGTAGAACGGGAGATATAGAACTGTCTCTTTTTTTTCCCCCCACAGTGTACATCAGTAGCGCACCATCATTAAAAATGTTTAACTCATTAAAAACAATTAAAAAGATCATTTTAACTAAAAGTAAAAAACAATTTAGTCAAAATTTTGTATAGAAAGTAAAAATTTATTTTAGTAATCAATGCATAAATGCTCAGAGGTCAAGATCAATATATAAATATTGCTTCAAAATATTGCATATGTGTTAAGGAGTTATGCATATGAAATTTTAATTAAATACAATGCTACTGCTGAGCATAAAAATTTTAAGAAACTTATGATACCTCATTCAAATTTGATATATGATTTAATTAAATACCTTTTTCAGGATAGCTTAATTAATTTTTATGACATTTCTATTGCAGAAAAACTGGAAACAAAACAAAACATAGGTTTAGCTTAGGCTTTTAATTAAAGGCAGAACAATCCCTATATAAATGTAAGTACAGTTTATATTAAACACCTGGATATAATATTTTTGAATTCTTATACACTTAATGTTATATTATGTAACTGAAAATCTAAATGTATAAAAATCCAATATAATGAACTTCGTGCATATTTTCAAACTTTTTTTTATTTTTCAGAATCTGTAAAGTTTAAAATTTACAAATTCCTACTATCTATGTTTAGGCTACAAGAAGAGTGAACAACCACCTTCATATTATTGTTCTTTCATCTTCACTCAACTTTCTATTCGTTCTTTGCCTTCCTCTTTCTAAGTGTTTTCCTGTTTGTTTTCTGTATTTATTTTAAGCAAAGTTTACTTAAGGCAAGTGCAACATTTAATTTTTGGAAAACAAGAAAGCATAATAAGCATATCTTAGGAAATTATATTTGTCACGAAAATGCTTATTTATATTTTAGAAAATAAAGTATGTCAAACCTGAAAAGAACAGAAAACAAGTTTAATGGCAGCATATAACAGTAATTGCAGTTAATCCTAAATATAATTTAAAAAAATTGAAGTTATTATTCACATTTTTTGGTAAACAAAACAATGCTTTTTGGGAGGAGGCTTCATCAATCAGTTTTTCAGTTTTTGTGGAATAATCTATTTTTCTCATCAGAGTGGATACAGCAAATCAAACTTTTGGCCCCTAGAAGTTTGTTATAGCAGGGTTTGTGGGTATATGTATATTTTGAAACAAAAGCAATCACTAAAACACATTACTTGTATGATTACTAAATATACACAAAGAAATTAATAATTTCAAAAGATGTTATGCCATGGACAGTTTAAGGAATCAAACAACAACTCAGTGACATATAATGTTTTATTTCTTCCAGCTTGGGTTTTGTTTCATGTTTTACCAACCAAAATGTGACAAATTTATGAACTGCAGTAATTATACTATTTTCATAATACAGTATACACCTAGTGTTAGGATGTGTACATGTGAGAATTCAAGTTACCCACATATATTAAATATAGAAAACAATCACAGCAAACACGTAGCCACAAAAATTCTATAGATTTTTATAAAAAAAGTACATCTTCAAAATTTTTGAAGGTATGATTCTGGAAGAGGGAATTAAACTTATCAAAACAGATTAATCAAGACACATTAATATGAATACATGTGAAATTAGTATTCACACAACAAAAAAATGAAATTCAAATCTGATGTACCATGGAAGACTATATTTCACAAGATGTGAAATTTATTGAATGCTGCAACAAATTGCTATTAATAATAATAACGTTCTTTCTCTTATTATGCATACTCAATTTTCAGCAGAAAAAGGGATAAGAAAAACTTAACTAAAAACAGACAAGTATCAGCAGTATTACTGAAGTTTAATTAGTCTCAAACTAGTTTAATGAATATTTGAATAATTACAAGTTTTTCTTTAAAGCTCTGGGTGAATCAAGCATTGTTTATAAATGCTTATGTATACACTCTTGCTCAGAACTTCAGCAATATTCTAGATAATCTTAATTCTTCTGAATATGCGAGATATATATAGTAATTGAAATAAGTCTTTTTACTAAGGTTTCATAATTTCACTTACATTTTAAATTCTTTGGATTTAATGCTCTTAGTTTAAAAGTAAAATTTTGATTTGAATTTTTCACTTAAATTTTCAATTCTTTGAACAGAATTCTCTTTATTCAAGATTTTGATTTGAATTTACTTTTCCTTGCTTTGGGTAGAGGCCATAATTTTCGGGTGAACTATTATAATTAAAATACATTGAAATGGTTCATCAGCTAATTCTGGATACAGACAAGCAAGGATTTTTAACGAAGAGAAATTTCAATTTTCCATTTCAGTTCAGATGCAATATATGTTCATATTATACATAAAATTTTAGATACCAAAATTTATTTGCAATATTATCATAGTTGTCAATAACCAAAGCCCCATCGGTGGCCAAGTGGTTAAGACTGTTGAATACTGATAATTAGATCCCACACAAACGGGTTAGCTGCATGCTTTCCCATGTGTAATGTGTATACAATGCATTTTTCCAATAAAGTTCTTCACAAAGGCATACCTCTCCTTTGCAGACAGACCACTTGTGCTTTGCCATTTTCAAATAACCCACCTAGCCAATAATTCAAAAATTTTCTGTAATTATTTGGATGTTAAGCTGAAATTATGATAAAAAGATCTTATTTTTATTAATTAAAAATTTTAAAAGTTTCATGTTATATTTTCTTTCCAATGCTAAACTATAATAAACTGAATACTTTTGTCATATATCCAGCTACAATACCCAATTTTGTTAATGTATCTTCTCTAGTTTCCAAATTGGTTCTAGTCCACCAACAAACTACTCACCATAACAAATTAATAAGTGCACACGCAATGCATATTTTACATGGTCCACCAACTTTTATTTTTGCCCAGTAGTAAATTATATAAGAACATTGAATATAAATAGTTTCATCAAAAATTCAATTATTGATGAAACAAGCTGGCTGTATGAGAATTTTCTTGTTTTCTCCTATAATGAATATAAGAAAGAATAATAACAATAATATTAAAAAATATAACGAAGATAAGAATCAATTCAGAAATGTTAAAATTGGTTATAAAAATTTACAAAAATTAAAATTGAATTTGAAAACAAGAATAACTGATTTTAGTATTAAATATCTTTATTTTGCTTTTTATGTTACACATATTGCAAATAACATCAAAATTTAACCTTCCCAACATGTTATTGGTCTTGAAAAATTTGCAAAATTCTGTATTAACCGCCTTTTATATCTTTATATCACTTAAATGGCTATTTATATATAAATTTATTTACCTGGCATATTTATTGCGAATCCACTACTAACATCTAAGAAAAAACTATATGCATGTAAGTGATAAATCTCAGTATCTTTCAAAATTTTTAATCCTGTATAGAGCAAGAGTGTCCACGTGGATACAAGTGTGTACTACAGACAGATTAAGAAGACATAAGAAATATAATCGTGCAACTAAAAATAACTGATTTAGATAAAACTTTTTAGAATTAATTATCTTTAATCTGCATAATTTCAAAACAATTTCATTTTAATCTGAAGATCTGCAAAACAATACAGGAATCATAATTAACACTTTTAAAAATATTTAATTTGCTTTTCTATAAAAACCATCTGAAATGAATTAAATTTGCTATTAATACAAAAATTTAAAAAAATTAAAGCACATTTAGAATACTTTTTTATGTAATAATTATGAGAGCTTTAAGAGAAAATAAAATTATTTTTAACACAAATAACTATATTTAAAAAATCAGGTTATGAAAATAGTTGTTAATGTTACAAAGCATATATAAATTGATTAATAGAAAGGAAATTTTCAGTATACATAGCATAATCTCTTCTGTAGCACAAAAATCTCAGTATTTTATGAAATTCTGCATATGTAAATGATCATTAAATTAGTCTAAAAATACCAATACAAAAATATAAGCTTCATATTGATGATTATTCACTAGAATGTTTAATAATATAGTTGATAAAAACTTTTCACACTTTTTTGTTTCTATCACTATAGCAACAATTATAAAAATTAAATATAAATAGATGTCTTATTCAACAAAAGAGTACAAGGGAGAAACGAAATGGTCTAAGTTACATTAACCAGTATTAAATTTTCTTGAATATGGTTATATTTAGCTTAAATGTTTTAAGTTTTATGCGCTTCAACTATTTTTTTTCTTCTTATAAGTTATATAAAAATTATTAGATTAAAATTTGGTAGCTTATTTTCTATGTCACAAAATGTTTTAGTTAAGCCATGTATTACATAAAAGTTTAATATATTCATTAAACACTTTAAAACATTAGTAAAAATACAGAACTGCATTTGAAATTATGCAAACAAAAGTCATAAATTTCTTTTAGAGATTAAAAGTATGTGAATAAGCTAATTCTTTATACAAAAATAGTGTATGCATACATAATTATTAATATACATTGATTTTTTACAAAAAGAATTTCTTTACACTATTTTCTTTAAAATGAGAACATAACCAAAATTAATATGCATTCTTTGTTCAGATGACATACAGTCTGAAACTAATAATTTTCCTATGCATATAAAATCAATGAATAGTTTTTCATAATGCAACATAATTAAAGTGGACTAATACACAAATTAAATTACCATACCGTCAAACTAAATATAAATGTTATCAGAAGGCCTACTATACAGATGCAGTATTAATATTTATATAATGGTATACGTGTTTCATAGTTTTGAACTGTTATTTTGTACACTTTTAATAAACTTAATAATATTGAATATTATAATCAGTCAGTCATTTTAATATTCAAAATGTCTACTGCAGAGAATTTACAAATTTTAGGCGAAAAAATGGTATTTATCATTCATGCAACCTCCTTCGCTAGATGCAAGACCTTTATTTCCATGCAATCTCGCAAGTAACCATTCTCATATGGCTGCCATTCAACATTTTGTAAGATCATTGTATTTCAAATTATAACTGCTTTGACTTATTCAACAACAATTTATACTTTTTAATAATACATCTTTGATTTTTAATATATAATTGATAAAAATTATAATCTATAAAACTGAAAATTTTAATAAATATTTGCAGCACATTTTCAACAATTCAAAAATGTTTCTAACATCATGTGTGATAAAATCTTTTATTTATTTACTTGGTGTCCCCCCCCAATTTAATCTAAAACTTGACTGAAAGTGGCAGAAAAAAAACTGAAACCCAAATTATTTTTATAAAGTGGTGAATAAATAATACATAAGTTTCCACTTTTTTTTAATAATCAAACATTCAATATAACACATGTCTAAAAGAAAAACATAATCAGACATTCCTTCAAATCTATAAAAATTCATTACCTTCAGGACAAATGACAACAGCAAATATATTCATAAATTTCTACAATAAATATTTTCTAAAATTTTTATGTATGTCTTTGCAAACATCTTACACACTAGAGTAACAAACTAAAATAAGCAACAAAATGCAGTGCAAGTCATGCAAACTCTAGAATAAAACAATCCCATCTGCAGGATAGTCACAGCTGTGAACATCTTGTGGCAGCATAAAATCAAATTATGTAAACAATATATATATTTAAATATCACAGTAAATGCTTTTGGCAAAGCCTTACAAAAATTCCAAATATTAACCTAATATGTCACTCATTTAAATAATAAATGCAAACATTTAAGTATAATATTTTTAAAATTCCCATAATTTTAAAACTTAAAATCACATGAATAATACAACTAGCTTTAAAAGCTGTACTATATTTAACTTGCTAAAAGTGTCATTTTTGAAAGCTATAATTTTGAGTTAACCCATTCAATACTTCAGCAGCATAAACAACTAATGTGCATACATAACAAGCGTCTGCTGTAAGAAACACAATAAATTTAGCAGACGCTTCTTATCAATTACTCTATAACCAAACTTTTGGATTTTTCAGTCTGATGATACCATATTTCCATATTTCATCAAAATCATGACCATATTTCATCATTTTCTGTAGTACAGAACTTGAAAAATGATAGTTAACAGATAATATTTTTCAACCTTGGCTACTATTATTTCGGAACTAGTACACAAACCTTTCTGCATATCCCTTATAAAAAATTACTCAGCATCCAGAGCACATTTAAATCAAGCAGAAGTTTATTTGAATGCTAAATTTTAACTTATTTGTGTGCAGCATAAATAAATAATTGCAATTAAAAAATAAAGATTTTTTTAAAAACCTTGTATTAAAAATATTTTTGAAATATCCATGCTGAAATAAGAAATTGTATTCCAAATAGGCAAATAAACTAATTTGTTCATTGGATTAAATTTTATATTGCAGCACAGTATTTTTTTTTTTTTTTTAAGTGTACTTTCTGATTATATATCCCTCACAAAAAATAGAAGATTTTGCTAAATGCCAAAAATTGTTTGTTTGGCTAATTTTACAGCTTCTAGGTATCATTTTTTTTTTTTTATAAATAATGATAAGAGCACGAAATTTTAGGAAAAAAATAACTAATATTTACACTTTTGTAGACAATATTCAGCAAAATGACAGTTAAATATGCAGCATATAAATTAATGAGCACCCAAACGTGTGATATGCATGTATACAAGTTGCACATATATTCAAAAATATGCCGAAAACACAAAAGAGTTTTACCATATGTTGAAATTGAAAGGTGCAGATAATCAGAAAGTACAAAAAGATCTTGTGCCTTTAAAAAATAAACTGATATTTAGTTTCAAAATGTACATTAGTACATATCTGAAACATACTACCACATAATATATGTGGCCCTGCATCACTGTAAATGTTAATATATCCTTATCACATTTACAGTTTTGAGAAATGATAACAGGCTACAGAAAACTTTAAATATTTGATTTTGAATATAAATTACATATATACATACATATTCTCATCACAAAATTCCTGAATTTAAATACATTCTTCTGAGTAGCCTGATAGTGTTCAGTTAAACTGTGAGCAATAATGTTAAAGAATTTTTCTGTAAGAAGGTGTAATACAGTGACCAAATAGTATGACTTTTGCTACAAAATACTACTGAATACAGTTGTTCCATAGAAATACCTTGAAACTGTTGAGGGCAACAAAAAATTTTATGACAACAATAGAAGTAAATTCATCAAAGAAAGAAGGAGGAAAAAAGACAAACAAATCAAAAATATATACGAGGGTCGGGGCAAAAGTCATGGCAACTATTTTTTTCTTGTAGATATGTGAACCTATCATAAAACGTATATGTGTCTTATGGAAGTTCTGCAGGTATAGTGTGTATGCAGAACAACAGATGGCTCTGTGATAGCTGGCTTTGTGGTAACGAGGGCTCTTAAATCAGTCAGTTGGTGAGTGTCGCGCGAGATGAAAGTAACCCGTGTTGAGCAGAGCACTTACATCACAATAGCCGTTCTCCGAAGGAGAAATGTGATAGAATGTCACAGTGAATTAGTAGAAGCCCTTGGGAGTAATGCCCTACCACATCGTACAGTAGCACGGTGGGTAGGAAAGTTTCAGCAAGGATGTGTGTCAACAGTGATGAGCAATGTTCGGGACGAGTGGTGAGTGTGCAAACCGACTTGGCACGTGCCGTCATCGAGCACCTCATGGATGAAGAAAGACGATAGACGTTACTGGAGTTAGAGAGGGCAAGTAGCATTGAGAAACGCACCGTCCACAGGATATTACGTAATGAGCTACAGCTATGCAAAATTGCTTCGTATTGGGTATCGCATGCACTGACAGAAGTTCAAAGGCGGGTGTGCTATGCAATATGCTCCGACCACTTTGCACGCTGGCAACAGGATGGCAATCAATTCCTGTCACGAATAATCGCCATCGATGAATTTTGGGCCAAGGCAGATGAACCAGAACTGAAACATCAGTCCATGGAGTGGTAGCAGAAGGTCCGTCAGAATCCTTTCCCAGTCAAATTGATGGTGATCGACGCGTATGACGTCAGGGAGGTCATTGTTTGCCACTTTGTTTCTCATGGCAGAACAGTGACCACACAGTACTACAAGGACTTCCTGGTGCGACAGGTACGACGTGGCATTCGGGATAAATGTTTGGATCTTGTGGACAATGTAATAATTCTGCACGACAATGCAAGACCACATAAAGCAGTGTGTGTATGGCAGCTACTCCGACGTTGGGGATGGAAAGAATTGGAGCACCCACCGTACTCTCCTGACCTTTCACCCTGTGACTTTGATCTCATTCCCAAAGATTAAAGAACCAATATGTGGTAGGCAGTTTGCAATATGAGAGGGCATTGCTAATGCTGTGCGCCAACCGGTGACCCGATTCACACATGGTGCGGCAAATGCTGAGGCTGATGGTAATCAGCGCCTCCCACGTCGTTGACAGCGTGTGGTGACTACCGTAATAAATTCATGAGTTAAGATATTTCAGTGCTATTCATTGTCCACACATGTAGTTAAGACCTTGTCCTTTCGTCTGTATATGTCACATTTTCCAACCGGACTGGTATCTTCAATTAAAAAAAATAGGTGCCATGACTTTGGCCCCAACCTATATATATTTTAATAATTTTGTTATAATCAATTTGTAAGTTAGAGAAAATGATGTAAGAATAAAAAAACTTTCTGCATATATAGTTTTATACAGTACGGCATAGAATTAAAAATATATTTTAATAAACATCTTGTACTGACTACAAAAGTAATTAATTCTACACATAAATAATGTCCAAAAAAGTTGAAATACTTGAGTTTCTGAACATTTCAAATAGTATGCAAAACAAATGTTTAAGAATAGTGCTAAAAAATGCAGTACTTTGATATTAAAACTATAAAGTTTAGCTTTGCACAAACGGAGTATATATATATATATATATATATAATAGCAAATGCTACATAAAAGTAAATTATTTAAAATGAATAGAAGTTAATCACAGAAAATAAAAAGGGACAGGGAATTGCAATGATAAACAGATGTTTGAAATAAGTTTTTTGTCCATTGTATACCATTATTTGTTTTAATTCAGTGGTTCTCAACCTTTTTTGCTTCATGCACCCCTTTCTTCATTGCTTAATCATTCCCCCCCCCTCCTTTCCAAAACTTGGAAAATACATATATACATTTATTTACATTTTTTTAACATATTTTATAAATTAAACAAAAAGTATAGAAAATGTTGGTAAATACTAAAATTTAAAGTAATTTTTTATATTCATAAACTCAAAATAACTATTTAACAGTTAAATAAAAGGCTGAATACATTCCCCTCCTGAAACCATGAGATTCTCCTCCCCCACCAGCTGAGAATCCCCGTTTTAAGTTTTCTAACATTTTAAATCAAACTTTAAAAATACAAACCTATTTTAAAGGGTTAATTAAACTTACTTAGTTTAAAGGGTTTTGAAAACTACTGCAGAAATTAAAACTACAGAAAACATTTCCACAAACAATTTGTTTTTTCCATTTAAATCTAGTAACATAAAATAAATGATTTTGAGATTAACAACAAATAGTGAAAGAGGTAAATTTTAAACTTGTATGTATTTCTAAGTAAATTGCAGCAAAATGAATTGAATCAAAAATTCACTGGCTGCTATTCTAAAAGAAAGTAAGTCACCAAAAATAAAGCATGAATTTTTAATATGCATTTTGTATTAGCATTATGTCTGTTACAATAGTGATAAATTTACTGTCAAAGAAATAATCACAAAACATTTACATAATTTTTATGCTACTCACCAAAAAGAGGTCAGCTTTAGTGAACTGCTCACCAACCAGTGGTGATGTCAATATGTACAGTACAATATGTCAATCAATAACAGTAATATTAGTGTAGATATTTAAAAACCTGCCACAAGATATCACAGCTGCAATATGATGATTAAGTATATTTTTATTTTTAGATTAAGCTCATATGTAAGTTGGGGAATCTTTCAAACTGGCACCACAAGCTGTGCAATCTTCTGAGTCTTTTTTATTAACTAAAGTACACTGAGGACACTCCCTCCCTCCACTGACCAACGGTGTAACTTCTGGTCCTGGGTGTTTACTGCGACCACACATGTCACATATGCTTTTTTCTGCTGCATTATAGAAAGTGCATGAAGCACATGACCACTTTTTGTTACTTTTAGAATCTTTATGTGCTAAAGGTGGGTGGGATTTTACATTTTTAGAATCAGAATGAACTGGAGAAGTTACTTCTGGCATTTGTTCTGGTGAAACATTTGTAGAACTGTTTGTATAATTTTTCTTTGTTTGTGATTTTATAGACACACTATTTCCACCAGAATCATTCCCAACTGCTCCTTTCTGAATTCTAGACTTTGTATTCAGTGTTGCTACATTACATACCAGTACTCCATTTGACTGGAAATCACACTTTGGATTTAAGCTCTGCCCAACAAGAGAGAATGAACCATTGGCATCATTATCCAAAGTTGACGGCACATTATCATAATAACTTCCTCTTTTGCATGTATTATGTTGTGACTTATTTCCTATGTTAGACCTAAGAATTACATCACTAGATGATTCAGCACCTATTTGGTATGAAGCATAAGCAGGAGTAGCTACAGGGAAATGTCTGGATTTCACACTTGGATTAGGATTTTCTACATCCATTTTTAAAAATGCAGAACAAATGTCATTGGGATCATCAACATGATTCAAATCTAATTTAGGACCAGATCTAGAACTAGACTCAAAATTATTACTACTAGCATCCTTGAACTGCTGATACTTACTTGACATCATAGATAACTGGTGTTCACAGCACATGCGGCATTCACATTGCCTTGAGGACATTGAGAAATCATGAGGTAATGGGTATGGGTAAACAGGTACTCCAACTGGCAACATAGGATGTGATGGATATAAGTGTCCAATATGGGAACTATATGCATCACTTACATTTGGCACAGTGTTATTATAACCAGTTCTATGACTATTGTGATCACAGTTCATAAATGAATCATGTCTACCGTGGTAACTGGACAATTGCAAGGATGATTGCAAAATATCCCAAGAATCTTTCCAGTTATCTGGGGTTATATCAGAACTTATATACCTGGACACAGGATTGCTAGATTTGTTTAAAAAACTATAATTCGGCTGTACATGATCATCAAAACTGTGACTGTTGTAACCATCTGTTTCATCAGATCTTGATATTAAATTTCGTCCTTGGTAATCAGAAATTTGAGAAGAAACACCTTCACTCCATGATGGTAACTTAGAATGAGTAAGTAATGAACTTTTATTTGGCTTACTTGCAAAAGATCCAACCACATTTGGCTGCAAAATCATTGGATTGTCATTATAACCTGTATATGAATTATTACTTGGCCAAGTATTGGATACATCAACCAATATTCCTGTTTTTTGATAATTTGATTCAGGTTTACTTAGAATTTTATCTTCTCTCAGAGATCCATTTTCTTGATCTCTCAGCCACCTTTCTTGTTTTTCTTGTTCAGCAGCATTTCTCTTCAGTTGATGTAAAATACGTACAGCCTCTTCTATGCCACATACATAATCATGACGGATATTGTGAATTTCAAACCAAGAACATTTGAAGGATTTTATTTTTTCACATATCTGGACCATGATCTAAAAAAGAGAGGAAAACACTTAACTTCAAATTTCTTGTTCTAAAAAGAGCTTCACAAAAAATAAAATTTCAAAAGGATAAATTTTTGGCATTATAAATTATTACTCAATATAAAAAAAATCATTTAGCATTGAAATAATATTTATGAATTAAACAGAATTTTACTTCCTATATTCACTAGATACCAGATTAAAAAAAACTTAACTTACAGTAGTAATACTGTTTTCCAATTTAAAAGCCAAATATAATATTATGCAAATATACACATCAATGCCAAATATAATATTATGCAAACTTCAGCCTGATTGACACTAATTATTTTAAAGGAGACAAATATGAGATTCCTCTTTTAATAAATAACAAAAGCAAAAAAAATTTGCCAAATCAGTAAAATACAAAACAAATACAATTTGACAACCCTTTTTAATTTTAAAAAACTTGAGACTTTTATAATTATTATCATAAAATAATGAAAACAAAGATTTTATAATTAATGTATGGTACAATTCAATTACGTTAAATGTACCTTAAATCTCGTAGTTAATCCCTATTCAGGTGGAACAAGTAAGCTTTGAATTCCATCATTATAATATGTACTGTACCTCACTTGTTACTTTATGACAACAATTCAGAATGCACACTTAATCAGGCACCTCAGATTTCTAACCAACACCAGGAAATACGATAAGTGGAATTTTATTGTTGGATTTGAAAACAGTAAACATGCACTGACTCTGATTCCTTTTTTTAATGTCTTAATTTAAAAAAAAAAATAATTGGTTTTCCCAAGTTTTAATACTAAATTTTTTTAATGTAAACTACTCAAATAAAATAACTCAGGAATAACAAACATTTTACTAAAACTGATGGTAAAGCAAATATAATGGCATTACTATATAAATGCTCACAAATGAAAAATGAGTTAATATTATATAAACTTTCAATGCAGAATAAGCACAGTGGTAATAAATCAATTTTATCTTCTTCATTTCACAAACTCGATACATGTAAATACAAATCAGGAAACAGAAAAGACATAAATTGACTTAAGTAAGAGGCATAACTTCTCAGGAACCAACAATTTTCGTTTTTAAGTAACCTGATTTTTACAATCAATGAAAATTTTAAAAAAGTCACATTCAAAATATTCTGCAGGAGTGATTATTATCAACTTTTAAAACATTACACTTTGCAAACATAATATTTTAAAAAGTATGAACATCAAATTCATAGTGGTTTCAAAAATCACCAAAACAATTTCAGAAAAACTTCTTCCCTTCCTCTTACATATTAGTATTAACATGTAACTACCACAAACGTCCATATGTATCATAGATATCTAACATATAAAATCATTACACCAAAATAAAAGTAATCATATACCTTATTACCCGTTCCTTAAGCATTTTTAAATTCATTAACTGAATTGAAAGAAAATAATCTATTACTTTAAATCTCTTTACATATTATAAACAATTCACTTTTAAGAAATTACGAAAATCTGCATTACTACATATCTCCAGATATCAAGGAACTTAAGATATTAGATGTAAATTCCTAAAATACAGATTCGCTACTTTCCTATCCAATGCTTGATAATGGGCTAATGCCAAATAATGTCAATATAACTTATTCCCCCTTCTTTCCTACTACTGTCGGTAAGTAAAGAAATCTATCAGGGATTAAAAAGGGAATATTTCAATAATTCATAGTAAGAACTTGAAATCTTTCACTAAAAGTTTGCTATGATATTTTAAAAAAAATTTTTATAGAATGACTCACACTCTCAAATACATTTATTTTAGCCAGCAATACATCCTTTCTTTAAATTTCATTCTAGAAATTTTTTAGATATTGATAATGAGTACAGCATGTTGTTGCTATTATTCGTGTTTAATCCAACTAGACCAGTATATAAATCTTGATACACAAACACTTAAATCAATATGTTGATTCATGTTATGTTTCTGTATATAATTCAAAATTTTTTATCTATATGCATAATTTTAATTTTGCATCCTTAATTTAGGACACAGCAAATGTTTGCTTATAGCACCTTATGTTACTTGCTATAGCCGCAAGCCAACTAGGATCATGTATAAGCACACCCAGATACTACATAACATGACCCAATAGCAATGTATTCTCTGCAGACACATGTACTACATCAACATCCCCCCCCCAAAAAAAATTGTCTAAAGTGATAAATTTATTCCCCGTTTCATCAGATGGCCAGACTTACTATCTCCTTGTTGACATAGCTAATTTCTACAAATTGGCAGAGATGCATTCTAGTCAAGGAAGCTTTCCCTGCAACACTCTTAAGTCTGTTAGTTATCATCCCAATAACACAAAATTATCCAAGTCTGTTAGTTATCAGCCCAATAACGCAAAATTATATAAGAAATCCAATTAAAAAAATAACCATAACCTTACGCAAAAAAAAAAAAAAAAAAAAAAAAAAAAAAAAAAAAAAACACCAATAAACTTTTAATACTACAAGCCTATAATACAGTTTATGCATGAAATCAAAATACAACTCTAAGAGCTCTAGGGACTTAAGACATATCTTTGCTGCCATTAAATAAATATCTAAACCATGTAGCATTTTTAATGCATCTTTTATATTTAAATAGCTTTTCTGAGACAAAAACTTTAATTAAAAAAGGATTCTGTGCCATGGTGTGTAATATATTGCATTGAAACATCTTTTACAGTAATGCAGTGAATTTTCATAAAAATTATTAACTGGATCAGGGTTCGTAGCCACATTTTAGTTAAAAAAATAAGCACCTATAAGCACTTTTCAAGCACATTTTAATAAAAAAAATAAGCACCTGTCTAATTACATCATACACAACTGCATAACCTTAAAAATTAGACTTGTAATTTAAAATATGAGAAATGAAGTACTTATTAAGAGAGAATAAGCATTACCTTAACCATGGAAAATAATTACTTTTTTTGTTTTTGTTTTTAATTTTAAATAATAGTTCAATTTACAGAACTAGTTTGCAATGAGAGGAAAAAAAACTATGAAGAACTAAACTATATTGCAAGATTTAATGATGAAATTTCAGTTCAAAATAGAGAAAATAAATAATAATAAGGCATATTTATTGTACATGCTTGAAACCTAATAATAAATACAATTTATTTTTCCACTCATATTGATATTTAAATAATTTAAATCTAAATTCTGAACATTTTCTAAATTTCATTGTATATCAGTTTTCTCTTAACAGATATTGCAAGCAAAGTAATTTAAGTAAAAAAGAGGAACATTTCTGAAATCAGAAGACAGAAATTTGCTTCATGCAGTTCATCCTTTAACAGTAAAAGCTTAACTAACCCGCATACTTGGAAACTGGCGAATATTCGGACAGTTGAGCGTAACTTGAAAGGAGGGGGGGGGGGGGTAGAATGTAGCCGCTCTTTAGTCTTTTCCGCTAAATAAATGCTTTTGACATTTCAATATGTGCATCATATAAAAATAAACCAACGGAACTAAAAAATATTCTGCTTAGCAAGCACAGTAAAACTCTTTTTTAAGTGTTCATAAACAAATCTCGGACTGAACGTCAGAATTAATTATCTCTGCAAAATATCGCAAACGTTATTGCGCAATACGTGCGCCATAATTCTTCCCTACATGATATTACGCAATCGAAATCAACAACTGTTGGTATTAGGAGAATAAAGAACTAAATAACTGGGGTGTTTTTCATTCTAATTTTCAACAGATGGCGTTAAATTTCCGGAACAGAATTATTCTTTGCTTGGGTTGGTAGACCGCAGAACTTTTAGACCTATTCAATCCAGATTGGAAAGTGACCCCCCCCAAAAAAAATAAGTCCGTTGCTTGTTTTGAAGTGAACTGTAACAGTTTCAATATTCAAGATTTTGCGGAGAAAGGGTAGACCTCCCAACCTTCGTACTGTATAATGTAATGGCCAAAAAAATGAAATTATTTTGACTATTCGATAACTTTCCCTTTATTTAAGCTATTCCGAATATTATTCCTTAGAAAGCTAATGTGTGTTAAAACACAACCATTTTTGAAAGTTTACTATACTTCAGCAGTTACTGCAACTATGTTATAAACATTCATACATATACTCATATACAACAATAAACGATCATAATAAACACGAATATGAACTGACCAAGCAGAACGAGAATGAAAATTTTTATTAAGATCTTGATAGAAATTCAAACGTGTGTGGTATTTGGGTGGGAGAAAAAGAATGCCGAATGTACCGAAATTTCGTACTGCTTTCGCAATTCTTTGACCAATAGAACGACGGACACCTGTCTGTACTCTTCGTGCACACCAAAGATCATGTTAATGCAGAGAAAGGGGGAAAAGCTATTTCCGGAAGTATGATTCACCATCTGACATTCCATATTAGGAAGAAAAGTTGTTTATTTAGTTTCGGCTTTGGTACGGCGAAAAATAGAATGTTCATTAAAAAAAAAAAAAAAAGCACTAAAAACAAAAAAATAAGGGCTTTAAAGAAAAAGTAAGCACCTATAAGGGCCTTTATATTTTATTTTCAAATATAAGGACTTATAAGGACCGCTATAAACCCTGTGGATCTATTACAAATTAATTAAATATTTTGTTTAAATTGTAAAGTAAAGATATAAATTATTATGGAATGCATTTATTAATTTTTAAATTACTCAGTTTTTTAAGCATAATTTGAAAGTTAAAATCTTATGCCACATTAAATGCATACACTCTGAAAAGAGGCTACCTGGCATCCACATCGAAATTAGAGATATTATGTCTTAGACAATGTTAAAATTTGGCAGGTTATATGAATGATAAACATTCTGATATCATAAGATATTGGCAAAAAATATTGGAAAGATTTCAATACCAATGTGCAACAGTTAAGCTATTTAGTTCAAAACCTAATTTTTGAAATTGTTACCGACACAATTCTGATTATACATGATGTGACTTTCCTAGCAATCCTTTTATATCTGAAAG